AAGCTTAATAGTTGTTAATTAAAAGCGTAATTAAGTAGTGTTCAATATTCATTAGTGTTCTAATTCAAAGCCGTGTTGTATTCCAATACAGCTCACACAGCAAACGGAATTCGAACACGTGGATGACGGCATTACGTATCAGTAGAATTTGAAGCGCGGATGTAATACGCCTCACCACGTGCTGAATATTGCCACACACAGTGACGGAATATAGGGATTTGGTAGGTTTCCATTCTAAAGGCTTTTAAATAAATATGGCAACATTTTGTGACGTTTCATTGTTGCTGGCGCGTAGTACGGTGTTTTGCGAGTCAAATAAAGCAAACAGAACTTGAGTAACGCATACGGTTATTTTTTTATAGTTTTTCATTTCTCGATGCGTCCTTAATGTGACGGAGTATACCGCGTTAACCCTATCCTGGATAGTAGATACCAGCATGCAGCATAGCAGCATTATCGTTCATATATAAGAAATTGGTTTAAATTTAAGGGAAATGAGGAAATTAAAAATGAATGGATTCCAAAAGATCTCTGGTTTGTCACTATAAATTTAGTCTCCAAGCCTAGGCTCCAATGGCCTTGCCGGCCAATGCCGGGGGTTGCTGCCTCTGGCTCTGCCCTCTGGTGTCTGAACTCTGGAGCAATGGAGAGTTGGAGACTGGAGGCTGATGAGTCAAATTCCTCCTCAAGGTCAAGTGGAGTGTGTACACTGGACCTTGCATCAAACATACCTACTTTTCAACTTGCAAGACAATTCTTCAAGTAATATTGCACATAAACTTATTCAGAATTTATTCTCTGACCTTTTCATGAAATATTATCAAAGATAACCAAATTTTTATGGAAGGCTCAAAGTCTGATTACTGGTCAGTTTTGGCTGGGCTTTTTGTTTCATCAACCAAGTTGGAGACTGGCTTGTTGCTTCAACTGTCCAACAAGAGCACATGGTTCTTGCCTCTTGGTCAGACTTGGTGCTAAACCGTTTGAAATACTCAAAACTATACAGCTGGCCAGTGGCCACTGAAGATGAATTTCTGAAGGGACATTGACTCATATTTTAATACTGACAGATTCAAGGTCTGCTCTGCAGCTTTTATTACACTCATTTGGGCACTCATATTGCACAATTGTCTTTAAGATACCTACAGGAGTTGATGCTGATCAAGGGACAACAGAGTACCGACTGACTGTCACTGACAGAGTGGTGCATTGCTGGATCAAAGGCCACAGAGGTATCTGTGGAAACAAAGTTGCAGACAAGGTAGCAAATCTGGCACTTTTGAACAACTGCTCAGCAAGATCTGAGCTGTGCTTTGAGCAGTGGATCTGCTCCCTAGAGACTTATTATTCAAGAATAAGCACACCAATGGTCAGCTGACGTTCTGACAATGGGCAAGGGGACCGTCTGATGAAGTTTGGGACCTGAGATTGCCCATGAAACCCCCCCACCATCCGGCCATCCCCATGTGCACCATGGATTGCTGCCACATTTAGTTGGAATGCGCTGTCACTTGCACCTGGGGCATGTCAGTGTCAATGCTCATTTAGCCAGATTGAACTTGGCAGATTTAAGTAACTGTTCAGTATGCAATGTGAAGAGCACAACCAAGCATGGAAAACTTCTACCATTAGGGCCACAACTAGAGCTTTCCCGCCCTTTGGGAACTGTGCAATTTCCGCCAGATGAATTAACTCCTATCAAATTGTTTACGAAAGTGCAGGATCGTGCTGCAAGATTCCAAATGTACTGAATATTTGTCCAGTTGGAGATGCCAAATTTCAGAAACAAGTAGGAAAATTCCAATCCTGGGCACAACCAGCTCTTTTGTTCTACACTGCACACAAATCATCAAGCAACAAATGGTCTTTTGCTCAAGACTGGAAGGCCTCTCACTTCCCTTGGATCTTCCCTCAGCTCTTGGCAGTGGGGATGTCCCAATGAAGAACCACACTGCTGCCATCCATTATCTTGGTCAATATTTGGTCAGCTGAAATATGGTGACCAGGCTTTAATGTTCTTCAAAGCTTAATTTTTTTCCTTATTACAATTTACAGTCACACCAGGCACCAGCTGGTGGAAATTCTAAAAATAAAGTGATCTAAAAGTGAAGTGAGCTAAAACTCAGCCTGAAAGTGACGTGAAGTGTCCAAAATCTCAGTTGTGCTCAGGTTGGGAGGTGTGCTACTTGCATACCTGAAGCCTTCAAAAAAATAATACTAAATAGATAAAATATGAAAGCCAGAACTGCTCAAGGTATCTTTTTCTTCCATTTTTAGCGCATTTTCTCATTTCTGGAAAAAATGCACTATTGTGCTTGCCATGTCCGTTTGTCTGTCTGTCTGTCCATCCGTACGTCCATGACCTCAAGTTTTCGTCAACGAGAAAATGCGCTCTCTGTCACTCACTGCAGTGAGTACTGAGTTATATTTTTTAAATTGCTTTTATACAATATGTTGACCCATTTCTTGTAAAGAGGTCTTACTGTTTTAGAATGCAAGTGAATGAAGAAGAACTTCATCAAGTCTTAAGTGCAGCTGAGCACTCAAGCCTTTGTAGTGTTCCACTATCATGTCATTCTTGTGCAAATCAAATTAGGGTTATTTATTAGTGTTTTTGCTCTTAGACCTGCACTTTATCATAGCTTAGTTGGATTACCTTTATTTAATTTTGTATTCTCCATGTTCATTGGTTTATGCTAGAAAATATAGGCTTATTGCTCATCCATAAAACTTATGTTGATTATTGTCCCTTAAAAAAAGAGAAGTTCTTAGTTTATAAATAATTTGACACCACAGTGACCACATAATCTACATTGGCTTGGCAAGTTAGCTTATGACTAGAAGATTCAATTTCCCTCAAAATTATTTATATTGCCAAAATCACTCATTTCTTCTTTTTCCATGGGAAACTTTTCTCATGACTGTAGAATCTAAATAAAATTGTTTCAAGGAAAATACCACAGTATATAGGTATATGCTACCAGTATATCAATACAATTTCCTGCTCTGGCTTTGGGCAGTTTTTGTATTCAAGTTATTACTTATTAATTGTTAAATTAGGGATAATGGACTAACTTTATGCCCTGCTAACTGTCATGGTTTTCAACTTTATAGAAATCTATGTGCTACATTTCACTAAGTATACCTAGCTATTGTACAAAATTGTGATCAAATTTCATCCTAAAATTTTCACAAATGATTTCATTGAGTACTAAATTGATTAACTTGTAAAGTATTCAGAAAATAAGGTACTGCTGTGCATAAAAGATACTATAGCTTGGTTTAATTAATAACATTTATGTAAAAAAATAATATTTTCTCATGTTAGCTCATATGTGAATAACCTTGTTTGAAACATACAAGCTATTGAACTTCAAAATGCCAATAAGATTGACATACACTTGATTTAATTTACAGAATAGATGTTGGTTAGGCATTCATACAAGATAACCACCATCAATGCTGATAACCTTGCCAGCAGCACCAAAGTCACTGGCCTTCATTAGAAATGATCTATTTTATAAACAAAGCTGAACATTTCTTTCTAGTAAAATGCAAAGTTTTTAGTTATTATTTGGCACTCTAACCTTGCAAATCGAAGTTCTAACCTGTATTACAGTACTTGTTTTTTTTCATGACAAGTGGCAAGTCAACTGCAGATTTTGCTATGTGGTGACTTATGAAGCATTGATGGCAGGTGTTGTTTCATCAATTTGGTGAAAATCTCAATAATATGAGAAAAATTGTTCTTTTAAATCTCTGTGAACCTTCATCAGCATGGATGGTTGACTGTGTTATTCAGTGCTACTGTGATAATAAATTAAAGATGAATTTTGCAGTCATTTTGCACTTCAAAAAATACAAAGCCCAAAATCTTATATTTGCAAAGTTGCTCTGGAATTTAATATCATCAGAATCTTTTATGAAATCTTGATGCTTGCCCTACAGTAGCAAGGACTACAAAGATAAGAATGGAAAGGTAAGATCTTGATACTGCAGAAAAATGTTCTATTGGGATAAGTGAAAATGAAATAACTGAATTATGTAATATCTTTGTAATCTATGGCAGATGAGGTTTGTAATTAACCTCTAGTGAATTAATTACATTTGATATAAAAACCAGAACAATACTTTCAAAACACTGTTTTTCAATTATAGGAGGGACTGATGGAGAAGACTGGAAATTCTTTAAAGCTTTTGAAAGCATCACTAATGAGTTCTGACCCATGTTATGAATCCATCTCCTGTGAACAAGAAAATTTACAAAGCAATGAAATGCAAGCAAATGATTTATCAAATTTTTCATATTCGCTTAAATTGATTAAAGCTTGTGAGCATGCAGTAACAAATGGAATTAAAAGAAAAAAATATTACCTTAATGATGAAGTGATAAGTTGCAAACCATTCTATCCAAGTCCTTTATCATTGAAAAGATTGGCCTACCCCTATTCTTGTGAACTTTTGCACATGACAAGAATGGTGTTGGAGAAAGAACCAAACCTTGTAAAAGAAAATAAGAAAAAATTAAGAAAACAAGCTTCAATTAAGGCTTTACTAAAAAGTCTATCTGTTTCCCTGAAATGTAGTACCAATGAAGTAATCTGCAACTCCAATATGAATTCATACCCTATGAAAGATAAGCTGCAGCAATTGGTGGACAATTTACCAACTAATAATGACTTTAATAAATCTTTTCCTGATGATGAGTGCAAGGGATCCCTGCATGAACTTCTATCGACCTTGGGTGAAGAAGATATCCACAGTTGTGCATTAGAAAATTTTTTTTATTCATCCTTGTTAGTGAGAGCAAGTGAACTGCATTGCTTACAAAGAATGAAGCACTCAATTTCTACAGGTCAAAAACAGAGACATTCTTCTTCTCTCAATTCTGATATTTTGCAAGTTATTCCTGTAGAGTCAACTCAAAAATCAGATAGAATTGATGAAAGTTTCCTTCAAGAGTCAAAACCACAGATTATGCCACCTAATTTAACTATTAGAGCATCAGGAGATGTTGGCAAACTGAATCACGTGTCAGATTCTAGTGTTACATTCTGGGAGCCATTCACTGCTTCATCGAATGCAGAGCAGAGGATAAATGCAGAGTCATCCGAGTCCAAAAACCTCAGAAAGTGTAAGAAATTGAGATCAAAAGCTCTATGTAAACCAAGTTTATGTGTCACTCAAAAATTGCCCAAACCTGATTATCCCTCAAGTTTCCTTGAAACGAAGGAGCCCGCTACAAACTTCCAGATGCTTGAATCCCATGAATATTCTGACAACAAGACGTACCAGCCTAGTGATTGCACTACTCATAACAAGTCTGTTCATTATACGGAAAGCCTTAGAGAAAATCATTCCAAGAGTGGCTATTCTAAGTTCACCAGAATACCAGAACTTATACCTTTCAGCCAAGAAACACTCGGAGGTTTAGCTGCAAGAACTTCTAAAGTCAAATCTTCACCTATTGCTGGAGTAGCTGCAAGTGAAGATACATTAACAGAAGACTTGCCTGTGCCGCATCTCTCCATGGCAGGCTTGTGGTGCAGACTCAACATCGGTCCACTACATCATGACGGAGGCCAACAACTTGATTGTAAAAGTAGTTCAGCTTCGGTAGATTCTCAGCTGCAATGCTATTTGTGTGACGTTCCTTTCAATTCCTCAAGTGATTTGCAACATCATATTCTACTCTGCCACACTGCTTGTGGTCTTCATGGCAGAGTCAGAGACTAACTAATGTGAAATATAAACTGTAACAAAAGCTTTTTTAGTTATTTCTATCTATTTATTATCACATGTTTAGTACAAGTTCAATTGTTGCACTGAATTTTATATGTATGTACACCAAGTTGGTTAAACAAATTAGAACAAATGGCAAACCAGCAAATGGGGTAACATTGTTTCAAATTTAATGTTTAGTTTTATCATCTCGATATCTCATGATATTGATTTATATCTCTAAACATTTCTCAATGTGCAAACAATCATTTAATCATCCAATTATAACTACTGTATGCTGAGACCTCTCAATGACTTTGCAATATTGTTATGATCATTAAATGGTAAACAATGTAAACTAATAAAAGAAACTTCATTTTAGTTAATTATAAATGGCAGCCCCTGCCATTGATTATTCTGCCGTAGCATTGTATTGTAATATGTATAATAATCATTTTACATGACATATATTTGCCTATTTTTTAAGGATTCATCATCTGACAAATTGTCTAGTTTAGTCAGGCAATCTTGCTTCTCTGCGCGAAAACTCAAGTCTCTTCCATGGATTAAACTGAAAGTGTTTCATCAGATAAGCTGACAATTTTGCCGGGGTATTTCAGTCGATTATATGCAACAAGCGCTAAGTTATCCAGAGCAAAGTCTTCAGATTTCAGACCAACTTGTGATTCTGTATTGTTAGGCCTGTGAACAGGTATGCATGATTCTTCTTGTATTTCTTCAGAAAAGGTTTTGCTTTACACTTCAGACTCTAGCATCATGTCAAATCATAAACGAAGAGTAACTCATTTTTTTATTTTCTTCTTTGAAACTTCGGTCTTATTATCATGATGTGTGTAAATGTTTGTGCCATGCAACTCCTGTTATTCATGCAATCAGCTGATCAGTAGCTCTAGCACCAGCTGATGCAACCCTCAAGCTGGAGCTGGAAGTCTCAACGGTGTCCAGCAGGTAATCTCAGCGAAATTGGCACCCAATTTGCAGAATCATTTGATGCCGTTCCTCGCCCCCCAACCTAGTATGTTATTTCTTCAATGTATTGGAGGCAATACTACAGCAGGATTTTTATGATCTGATGAGAGTTACTGACTGCAACGCAAAAAGTTGGGAGAAGTTTATCCAATCCTATGAATATTTATTTACCAATTACGTGCAGACAATGACTAATGTAATTTTATATGTAATAGAAAATACCTCCTTGATAATGCAGATTTCAATATTGATATCTCGGTAACTAAGCTATCCCTTGTATGTTCAACAGTAGAAATTTATGTTTGTTATTGTTTACTATCTATAGTGTATAACTCGAATTTTATTAAATTTCCAATTTTCTTCCATCAATTTCAATATCCTGTCAGCAAATGGTCATTTCAAAGTCCGTTTTGAAGTAACGCAAGGCGGTACTCACATTTGTTAACTAAGAGACTCGAGTTTTGTTTTACTAGTACCTACTACTCATGGACTTGACTCTTGAGCGACCTACACAAATGTCAGTTGCATACGTACCCAACTATTTTTCTGCCTTTGAACAATTAATCTATTCAAGCTGTTATTAATTTTTAAATTTGAAATTGCGGACTAATATCATGCCTTGCTTGCCTAAGCAAGTCATGTCATGTTCAACTTTGAACTACTCGTTGTTGAAAGTGGTTTCACATCCCTTAAATGACCATCGTAACTGATATTTCATTAAGAAAAGCGGATCGTTCTTTGCAAAAAAATAATGCATTTACTTAAACAGGAAAAACTTTATTCTGTCATGAAAATATTTTGCATATAAAAAATATTCTATAGCTATAAAATACACAATTGTTTAAAGTGAGTAAACTTTAGGAGCAGGCAGGAAAGACCTGGGCGTGGGGGCGCCCATGAGGCTGAGCTTAGGCTTCCCTGCGGCGCTGAGAGTCGCGGCGCTCTTGCGACGCACGGCGGGCTGGCGGCCAGTCCGCACCTGGAGGAATATCAAGTAGTAGTAATAGTAGTAGTAGTAGGGGGAGAGGTTTCTAACGCTTCAGATCAGTTTCGGAATCAGGAATATCAATGACTTATTTTGCTGTCTTAGCCTCAGTCTCATTCTCTTCATACCAGCGACCATATTGAACTGCCGCTTGTTGCTTATATCACAATGCGAACATAGAATAGAGCAGAATCGTTAATTTCATGCAGATGTATAGGAGAACAAAATGATATCAATACTATAGTGCAGATATCAAAGTAGGACATTCCCATTGAGAAAAATCGATAGAAAATATTGAAATCAAGCAAGTGGTATATTGAAGGTACATTCATGTTCTACATCTACACGACAAATTCGAGGCCCGTGTGCAATGAATTGGCAATTAATTACATCGAGAAAAACTCCCACCTGAAATTTTTGAACGCCTGCAACGAAAAACTCTCCTGAACTCCCGCTAGAAGGCGCGGCCGCAGTGCTCTTAGCCGAGGTGCGCCTCTTTTTTCCTCTAGCGAATCTGCGCCCACCAAACCTGCAGTGACACTCCAAATTATTATTGGCCATGCAAAGAAGATCTAAATATTTTCATTAAATAAAGATAAGCCTATAAATGTATAGGTTTACAGGGGCTGAATGAGTCTCCAGCTGTCAATTTGCAATCCACCGGATTTGTCAGGACGGTGAAGTTCTCGGATTAATTTCGAGTCTACATTTCGCACCGTATCTACGATACATTTTGCATGTACTTATGTCATTTCCAAATTTCTAGTTTTGTAAAGCTCTTCACCAACTGAGTAGTATAAATATTGTTTATTTGAAACGTCGTATTCAAGTAAAATGTCTTTTGGTGACCCGTTTTTTGATCTCCCAATACCAGCTAGAAATTTTGTTCGGCTTATTGGGTAACAAAATTGTAAATAAAAAGTATGCTCTGGTCTTCCATCAAACCTGCATAAATGAACATCTGCCTAACTACACTAATGAAATAAACGTGAAGCCTAATATCGTATCAGTTACCAGAACTTACAAAAGTGACCAGTGTCTAAAACCAGAAAGTGTCAAAAGTTACCAGAACTTACAATACAGTTACAATTTCATGTTTTTAGCGCATTTTCTCAGTTATTGAAAAAATGCCCTATTGTGCTTGTCATGCCCGTCTGTCTGTCCGTGACATCACGTTTTTGTCGACGAGAAAATGCGCTCTCTGTCACTCACTGCAGTGAGTACTGAGATATATTTTTTTCGTAGACCTATCCTCCTCTGCCGCGCCGTTTGGTCTGCCCGAAGTAGGGGCTGTCGTTGCCCTGGGAGGGCAACAGTAGACCTACCCTCCTCTGCCGCGCCGTTTGGTCTGCCCGAAGTAGGGGCTGTCTTTGCCCTGGGAGGGCAACAGTAGACCTACCCTCCTCTGCCGCGCCGTTTGGTCTGCCCGAAGTAGGGGCTGTCGTTGCCCTGGCAGGGCTCGGGCGCCGACACGGACGCCAGCCACGAGCTGCCCTCGTCACCGCCATCGCTAGCTTCTAAGTCCAACGCGTCATCGCGCTCTGACAGCATCACTGTGTCAAAGAAATAATATTAAAAGCAATGAAATGCTCCATTTCACTCGTTTACATTCAGTAAAATACTTTTCTTCTAACATTTAAACCTTCCGTTATCATTGATCATTGAATGAATATTTCAATGATCGAATTCATTCATCGATCATTGAATATATATTTATTAGAAGGTAAGTTTTCTTCCAATTAATAATTGTATTAATACTCCTGGTTAAATATCAGGTCATCTTAGGGCCTTATTGTAATCAACTCGTGCAATATATTCAGCTGATGGAAGAATTTAAGTGAACTATGAATAGCACAAGTAAACGGAATCAAACAAAATTTCAGAGAAAGTGATGGCATCAAGTTATTCCAAATTACGTGGAGACACACAGCGGGTATTAACTGAATTGAACTTACGTACACATTTGTCGTATTGAAGAACATGATCAAGTTGAAGATACAAAGCTACGGCTTATTCAGTGGACGACACAAGAGGTTGCAAAAGCTGCTCTCAACATTCCGATTCAGATGACGAACCTCGTTCATTTTGAGGCCCGGCAGAGAGCAGAACTGACCGAGTTTGTTACTCAACATTCCGTTTCATATGACGAACCTCGTTCATTTTGAGGCCCGGCAGAGAGAAGAACTGACCGAGTTTGTTAGCAGCAAAACGCTGCGTGATGTCCAGCAGCCGCTGGCCGTACTTGACGTAGTTGGCGGTGGTGATGTGAGGTATGCGTCGCATCTCCTCCTCGCTCTCGGGCATCTCACGCGACATTGTTCTGTAAAAAGTAGCCAGTCATGTTAAATCAACTTCATAACGACGTCAAGTTTAGAGTTAGTCGATTCATCAAAATATCCTGCACCAATTGAAATAAATTTTAAAAAATCACGAACATTCTTACTTGTACTTTTTATCAACAATACCATCAAGAATAATCATTTAGGAAATTGTAATACATTCAAGTGTCATAAGATCGTGACCACTCCATCATCACTGATGATGAGGTTAATAGTTTCGCGACCAAAAACTTTTCGATAAACATAATTTATATCTTACTGATGAAAAATCAATTAAAGTTGATACCCCGTGTAACACATTTAGAAGTTTCTGCTGCTCACCGTATCTCGGACCGGAAAGTTTAATCTGCAGCATAGTAAGTGAGCTGATAGTCAAGATTAACTGTCCGATATAAGCTTAAGGTGAATATGTTGCACAGAATCTTTACTAGTTCATAACATAGTCTAGGCATGGGAGCTGTTGACTCACCTCAACGCAACCATGTTGATAACGTTTGTGTAGTTGACGCTCTTCTCCTCAGCGATCTTCTTGACCTCAGCAAGTAAAGCATCGTAGCACTCGGTCTGCAGCAGCTGCAGCTCCTCGTCAGAAGTTTCTTCCTGCACCACAACAGGAGCCGCCCGCCGAGCTGACTGCATCTCCACCTCCAGCTGCAGCCACATCAAAACTTATGAGTGAACTGACATGAGTGAAATGAAATGGGTGAATTGACTCATAACTTCTTGCCTTAAATACATGAAAATAAGAAAAATAAAAGTTGATTAACTTCCCAAAGGAATTCATTATTAATTAGACATTTACTGCATTTACATGTAAGTGTTATATGTTGCACAGTTCAGTAAACAAAGTAAATACTGTTACAAATGACATAATGTTGGGTACATGCAACAGCATGAAGCATTCTACTAATAACTGAACGAGTATTCAAACTAGGTCAACCTCGAATGTATCAAATTTCAATTCCACCATAAGAAATCTTGCATCTCATATTGACATGAAAGATGCTATCGGTACAATGAGATGTAGTGCTGCAAACTGTGCGTCAATGCCTAATTTTAAACTTCATATTCTCAGCATTAGAATCAAAGAAACAACAACAGTGAATAATAAGCGCCCCACTAACTTTAGCGTTACGATCCGCCAAGAAAGCTTGAGCTTTAGGGCCGAGTCTGAGGTAGGCGTTGGCGATGTCGTCGCGGGTGACGACGAGCTCCTCCCTGAGGTAGCCGAGCAGGACGAGTCTGTGCAGCAGTCGCTCGCAGTCGTTGCGCTGCCAGCTCTTGCCCAGGCCGTGCAGGGGCTGTCGTTGATGGCCTGACCGCCACCACGCCAACAAAATGTCAACATTACAAACATAGTCTTATGCTGGAACGCGTCTCCACAATTAACAGCTATTTTCTTACACATTTTACATCATCAAGTCATGACTGCATCAACTTATTCGAAAAGTCGTCTCCTGTTTGCACATCTACGTATAGCCAATATATCATTTATGACTGCGATTAGAAGAAGTGCCGTGCTTCAATTATTTGCACGGCATCGTGTGCACGCAGCAGGGAGTTGAATGGCTAATTTTTTTTCAATCGTAATTAGATTTTTAAAAATCTGAAGAAGAATTCTCCCCACGTACTTTCTCTCAAACCTACCATTTTCCATGACTTTCTTGGCCTCAGATCCCTTGAATATGTCGACGAAATGATTCATAGTGAAGTTGTTGGACCATCGTCCTCCAGAGCACAGCTGCTGCACCGTCTGCACCGCCGCCTTCGCCTCCTTCGTCACGTCGACGTTGTGGTACGAGCCCTGGAGAGGAATATTGTGGTAAATAAAAATAAAAACGTGCCTCGGTTAATATCGATACGAACGTTCACGCCTTACGCCTCAGCTGTACGATTAAAGGTATAAACAATACTGTCCGTATACGAGGGGATAGGTAAATATAGGTTGACAATTTAGTCAAGCAGACTGACGAAACAAAAGCCAAACGCCGAATGCAACAGAATTAGTCAGTTTTATCGTTGCAAAAATGCCATAAAATCTGAATTGTTTCAGCAGCAAAGAAAGCTCTCCTTCCACAATAATATTTACGGCAGCAATATGCCTCAGAGCTCAATAGAGTTAAATAACTATAGACAATAACAGAAAGTAAACGATGCCGTGTTTAAGGCACGGTAAAGTTACCTGGTTAGCGCAGTTGTCACACGAGCTGATTTTATTATTCATACATTTATTTCTATCGAATATTTCTCCGAAATAATTGAGGAGCTGAGATCGGCGGCAGTCGGTGCGGTTCTCGCAGTAGGCCACAATGCGGTAGAGGTTGTCGTAGTGAGTCTTCCTCGCCTCAAAGTTCTCTCGGTCCACTGAACAACAACACAATCGCACGGATTAACACAGCAATGGACTGCAAGACAAAATTATGGCAAAATGTCAAACAGAATAGAGATTATATTAGGAACATTCACTTAAAGTCAGGGTTTAATCTTCAAGAGCAGCTACGCTGATTTAGTTTTCATAAAACGAATGACCACGAAATGACGCTAGATCAGATGGGTGCTAGAGTGTTGTTCTAAATGAATTTGCACATGATAGCAACGTGGCTTTACACTCGATCATCTTCTTGATGCGGTGCATGTCGGCGTAGGAGTAGTAGAGAGTGCAGTGCGCAGGCTCTCCGTCCCGCCCCGCACGGCCGCTCTCCTGGTAGTAGCCCTCGATGCTCTTAGGCATGCAGTAGTGGAGCACAAAACGCACGTCAGGCTTGTCGATGCCCATGCCGAACGCTACGGTAGCGACCACCACCTGCATGTGCGGCATATTAGAATAGAATAGAAGTGTCGGCATTGAAGAAAATAGGCCCATGGCCTATTTTCCACTGTGCAGTACATCACACCACTGATACAAAGTCTAGGACGTGAGATGCCGGACCACGATGAAAACACAGTAAATAAATCAAAACCTGGGCTGCAATTGCGATCCTAGTGTTATATACAATCCTCCTATTGCGATCCTCCTGTTCATAAGTTGAAGAAAGAGCACGAATATTGAGCAGAATGAATGTCTTTCTTTTTTAGGGTTTCTTCAATGCACAATGAGGACCTCAAAAAATTACAATTATGTGGATACTTCAAAGTGACTCTAAGCCTCCTCTTGTCTTCGGGTCAAATGACCCACAATTTCGATCCCATGCTCAGAGGCAAAGGGTATATACTGGAAATGAAGGCAACAGGATGTTTAAGGAGGAACTTATGAAAATCAGGACCACGAAATTGAATTGGAACTACCCAGCCAATTGGAATTAAATACAATACTTTTATTGCGATGTTTTGCATGACTTAAATATAAATGGAGAACGAAGTGACCTTGACAACATGAGGCGAAAACTCGACGAGGAGGCAGCTCTGCGGTGCCTCAATGTAGGAGCTGCTAAGCAACAATTAGTCGTAGTGTAGCGGTCTTGACGAAACTCACCTTACACTTATCGTTAATCCAGAGATTTTGCGCCTTGGCTCTCTGCAAGTCCGTGAGCCCAGCGTGATAACTCGCCGCCTAGGTTGGGCGAGAAAAATAAAACCTCTTTAATGGGCTCCAGACGACCTCATGTCAAGGCCACATTAAATAGGAATAAATTAAGTACCTATCATTATACAACTCTGGTCAATGTTCAAGGTGGTTTTTACGGATTTCATGACGAATATTTCTCCTTCCTTCACTAATAGTTTTATTTATAACAATTGCAACAATGTTAGTCATTCATGTGAAACAGCACGCAAAATTCTGCAAGTTATCAGCATGCCTGAACCTGCAGGTGCAACAGAAGCAAAGGATAGAAAATATCTACCTGAAGTACTTGCACTGAACGTAACTGCAGGAACACTACACAAGGGCTGGCACATCCACACATTATCTTCGGTAGATTTCACAAATGCGGCATATTAAATTGAAGAATAACGTACGGACTATACAATAGATAGTAATACTTGGATACGAGTAATACCTGCAAAGCTCAAGACCATAAAATATTCGTTCGATGGTACTAGTTGACCATTTTGATTAAAGCATAAAATAAGGCTAGAAAACTAGCAGAAATGCTCAGTAAAATTTCCACTCGTGTTTATTGGAGTGTAAGGCGCGAGGCAACTCACAGATATGCCCGCCCTGCTGAGGTCCGCAGCTACGGAGTCGCATTCCTTGCGCGAGAGGCAATACACGATGCCACACGCGCCCCTGAAGCGCGACTTGATCAACTCGGCGATTTCGTCAGATATTTTCTTGCCTTTTTTCGGCAGCACCTCATAGTGAAGGTTACTCCTGTTGAAACTACTCAGGAACCTGTACGGATTTAAATAGTTAGACTGATAACGATTCGAGCTCAACCTATTGGATTCATTCTTGGATAAGCAGTTCTCATTTCTCAGCAATTCAACTTTAAGTTATTATAAGATGATTTTGTTCCACTTGCTTCGTAGCATTATTTTCAAGATATTTACTGAAGTCTTCAAATGGTAGTACAGTGTATAAAATTGTTAAATGGTTCAGTCGGCGGTGAAATTTATGAATGTAAGAAAGAGGCCAGACTCACCCCATGGCACTCACCACTTATGGTCAGTGAGCCCCAGCTGGCTAAGAATGAGTATAAGAGGCCAGACTCCCCCTCATGACACTCACCACTTAGGGTCAGTGAGGCCCAGCTGATTAAGAATGTCGACCCTGACCCTGGGCGTGGCGGTGGCAGTGAGGGCCATGAACGGCACCCCAGGGAATTTGGTGCGCAGTACATGAAGTTTCTTGTAGTCTGGCCTGGAACAACGCGCGCCATGAGGGAGACATCCAAACACGTTGAAACACAAGCAACGGAAACATTGATAATAACAAAGTGATTTATAAAAATTCTATATTATTAATGCAAAAAATGAAGTATTGGGAACGGTGAAGTTTTCGAGATTATCAATTACCCGGTAAAAGAAGATATTCTGAAAGACAATTGAAAACGGTCACGAGTCGCAAGCATTTGTGTACTGAGATATTCTCAACTAAAAGTCGCACAGACCTGAAGTCGTGTCCCCACTGAGACACGCAGTGAGCTTCGTCGATTACAAAGCGCGCCAACACTTGTCTTTTGAAGAGCGCCTCCAAAATGCCAACAAACTTCTGACTCGCGCTTATTTTCTCCGGGGTGACGTAGAGCAGCTTGAAGCCTGTTTAATAGACCAGAGAAACCTACAACAACCAATTTCCCCAACCAAAAAAAATAATGAGCATATCTCGGTTCTTCCTTGTATGACTCACAACGAATCATGATTTGTAATCAATCAGCAATAAGTAACGTAAGATGCATTTTTAAAAGCTTAAATAAAAGTTGCATCTCTCGATGCATATCCTTTATTGCAATGGCATAAAAACAATTATCGAACTGAAATTAACAAATATTTTTTATAAATATTCTCGCAAGGTACGATAAGACTGACCTAGCTGGCTTATAATGTTTATCACGAACATTGACCCATTATAGCAAACAAATCATACGTCCAGCTGACAAAAAATAAGCCCAAGTGACCAGGAACAAAAAAATCACCAACACACCAGGTTCGCGCATCATGAGCTGCGTGTAGATGGCGTTCTCCTCGGCCATGTTCATGTCTCCTGAGAGTTTTGTTGCAGAGATGTCGAGCGAAGCCAGCTTCTGCACCTGGTCCTGGATGAGGGACTTCAGCGGCGACACTACGATGGTTACGCCGGCCGTCACGCACGCAGGCAGCTAAACAATGTATATATTAACGACGATGGTTACACAGGCAGGCAAGCAGCTAAACAATGTATATATTAGCAGTGATGGTTACGCCGGCCGTCACGCAGGCAGGCAGCTAAACAATGTATATATTAACAGCAATGGTTACGCAGGCAGGCAGCTAAACAATGTATATACCCTCTTGTCAAATCATTAGCCTGAGGATAACAACTATAGAAGCAATTGATGTTCCTGCCCAAGTTTTGCAGTATAACAATTGGTTATGACGAATTGAAACAGACCTGGTAGCAGAGACTCTTGCCGCCTCCTGTTGGCATGAGCACGAAGCAGTCCTTGCCGAGCAGCGCCGCGTTCACGATCTCCTTCTGATTCTCACGGAAGCGACGCAGGCCAAAGCACTTCTGGAACACCTGATCAAACATGATGAGGATTAAAAGCATGGCATTAATTTTGACTGATATACAGTGGGGGGAAATAAATATTCGTACATTTGAAAAATCGTATTTTAATGTATGTAAGTACACAAACTTAACAGGAAAAGTGATTTAAATTATGTATAGAGACGCATAGTAACTCACGTGCAGCATGAGCTTGGTGGGAGGGTAGTACATTACTCACGTGCAGCATGAGCTTGGTGTGAGGGTAGTACATCACTCACGTGCAGCATGAGCTTGGTGTGTGGGTAGTTCATGCCACTGAACTCGCCGGTGGGGCCATCATTCCTGACGTTGCCGTGGAAGCGCACAGGAGAGACCACGGCTGTGGGCGGGCAGCGTTTCTCTGGCGTAGCCGCAGTTTTCGACGTCGGTTTATTGAAGGCTTTCATTGGACTTTCTTTGTAGAGCACATTCGTATAGTTGATTTGATTGTCAGGGCCATGACTGCGGAATGAAATATATTAAACAAATTATAAAATTATCTGCTTAACATCTATCTACCTATTCTAGATTTATGGATAATATTGAGTCGGCAATGGCGGGTTAATTCTTGAGAAAAAAAAATAAAACATGCACACAACTGGGCTCATGGCAGAGGCAGATTGGAAACAAAGTATCACAAACGTCAGGGAAATGGCCATATTATGTTTTACCGTTTGGAAAATTGGGTGTGGAACTTACAATATATAGGGAAGCAATACACAAAACATATTCTCAACCCTTTAGGCAAGACTCTTACAGAGCGATACAGTGCAACACATTAGTTGGCAGTTACGGAAGAAGGCGGCTCAAAAATGAGTCTGGGCATTGCCAGCTTCCGTGTAGTTTTGGAAGATCACATCAAGGCTAATGTTAAGTCAAGAACAAAAATTGTTTCAAACTGTGGTTTAGAAAGATGCAATATCTTTGTACCGGAGTATCTAAGACATATGGGACTATGGTGCTGTGACCGCGTCGCATAGTTGCGTCAAGAGACACAGCTCGTCTCTCTGTCTCTTATATGTGTCGGCCTGCTTCTGGAAATACACATCCATGTTTGTGTCTTTGTTTGTAACCTCGCTGAGCCACACAATCTTCAATCCATCCAACCTATAAACTTACTCAGCCAATCTCGTTTCAGAATTTCTGCGAAACTTCACAATTAAATTCAGACTAAGTAATAAACATGGAATGTCTACAACGTAGGCAACCCATAAGGATACATAAGCGCTCAGGCATGACCACCGAGTGCTTGAAATCCCGTAATTAACACTTGTTAATTTCCAATTTCTGGAAAAACACAGTTTGCTTGTCAATAAAACAATATTAGAGAACAGCCGAGAGCAGGACTCTCAACAAGAGCGTGCGAGGAACACATCTCATGAGAGTGGCTGTGAGTGAGAGGAACACATCTCATGAGAGTGGCTGTGAGTGAGAGGAACACATCTCATGAGAGTGGCAGTGTTCAGAAGCACTCACATGAGGCGGGACGTGAGTGGCACGTCATCGTCGCCCTCGTCTGCGACGTCATCAAGATCGTCGCAGCCGCTGGCGTCCCAAGCCTTGCTGAAGCCCTGACCACACATTATGTACTGATTAATATTAAGCCACTAACCACACATTATATCCTCATTAATATGACTTAGATTGATGAGTATAAATGTCTCTCTTTATTGCAGAGGGAAAAGGAGATAACAGTACTACACTTCAAAAAAATAGAAGCAAACAAACTAATCTCAAATAATGTATTGATAAAACTTATCCTCACAAATGAATCAATTTTAAAGAAAGATAATACAAAATTGAGGAAAAACTTCTCATTGCAACGTAACAGCAGAACAAAATATAAATACAAATTCATACGGTGGTACCTAGGGAGAAGAAGTAAAGGTATGTAAATGGGGGGAGTAAGAAGGCCATAGAGAGCACCAACCCAGTCAGTCCTGAGAGCTTTGCATGACGGAACAGAGTTCTGAGGGTCAGGCTGAGCGCGGGGCACTTGTTCTGGTCCATGCGGGCCAGACTGGGCCCTGTGAAGCGCATGTTCTGGTCCATGCGGGCTACCCTGGGTCCTGTTGGGCGCTTTTTCTGGTCCATGCGAGCCTGACTGGTCTCTGTGAAGCACTTGTTTGGCTCCATCAGCCACCGAAAGAGGGGCACCTGTAGGCACACGAGAATACATTACAGATGATTAAATTATTTAATTGTTATATGTGTCAAAGCTGTTGTGTTTGGCACCACATATATGGGGGCTGTTGGGGCGTGTATCCAGGATATTACTCACAGTGTCGGGACTTACCGTGTACATTGCTTCTTTGTGGAAGAATAGGCAATGATGGCAGGAATAATAAATACTAATTAAAAAATTACTTTTTGAAGACAACACTTCTAAAGAGGCTAGTGTCTCCGATGTTACACATGTACAATGAATTTATTTTATCTTTAAATATTAAAAAATATATTTTCCAGTTTTTTAATAAATGAAATTTTTTCAACTTTTAAAGTTATTTAATCTATCAATTGATTCATGCATTGTCTCCAACTTTGTGCAAGTGTGCAAGATTTCAGATCGATTGTTGGACAGCTAGAAGTGTGTTAAATATCGACTATAAGATTTGTAGCAGACAGACAAACAAACAAGAAGTGAAGTTAAAGAGAAGTGTTGTGAAAAGAGGATAGAATTGGATATAAAATTTAAATTTGATTGTGCAATTGGTATATATAAATTTAATTTCAAAGACGCAAAATAATTTTTTCAGATTTTTAAACAAGAGATTGGAGTCCAATCTTCTTTGAAAAATGTGGGTTTGATGAGGTTGTATCTAAATGGAATACATAAGCTGTATTATTAATAAAAGTTTTAGGGATCAATGGGATTTGTGTTTACTGGGCTCCATAGTTGTAGGATTTATCAATGCCGGGCTAGCCTGAGTGTATTCACCACATTTTTAATACCATGAGACTTGACCACGCAAATAATACTGATTGTATTTATTCTTGTATTCTGATCTAGTATTAGCAGTCCAAGATCAACAAATGAACATTCAATATCCTGCATCAACTACCAATGAGACAGAAATATTTGTTTAATGTAAATAAATGATGCTGGTAAAATCTGTTACAATCAAGCAAACAAAGAAGTAGAGAACGTTAGTAATTAGGCTAATTAATCTTAATAAGTGATTCTTCCAAATTCATTCTTCTACTAAAGATCAATAAATTTTGTTAAAAATAAGGAATCATCCAAAACATTCAACAGAAACATCAATAAGTAGGAAAAAGTGAGGCAGACCACAGATTAAAGATAATAAAAATGTACTATCAGCTCACGTACCTCTTAAACTGATTCCAGTATTAATAACGGGAGACTTATTGAGTAGTACAGGCTCAGCATTATTAGAGTTGGACGAAGCGTTCATACGGCGCCAGCGCGCCCTTGTGTGCTGCAGCTTGTGGTGCGCCTGCAGCAGCAGCTCGTGGTGGTGCAGGTCATAGTGTGGTGCGTGCTGCTGCAGCACAGACACCGGCACGCGCTCGAACATCGCAGTGATGAGCTCGTGTAGACTGCCTTGTAAACTCTCGATGACGGCGAGGTCTTCTGGCTCAACGTCACATACCTGCAGTAGCCAGATGTTGGGGTCTTGTACTAGGGCTCACTACCTACTTTCTGGTACATCTTATTAGCAAATGAAGCCTCCAGATCTTAATTATATTATTCAAATTTGTGACTGATGAGCAAAACCAGCACAATGCAGATTTATATATAGGATCTTTGCTGGCATGAAGCATTGCAAAACTGCGAAGAAAGGATTGCATGAAAAATCAAAATTTAATTTTCAAATAGTTATTTCAAAATTTACTCTAAAAAGAATGAAAATGTTTTTTCCGTGTTTTAAAAAGAGAGTCACATAAGAGTCCCATACTCTATATAAATTATTTGTTTGAGGATTTTTAATTTGCACACGCTTGTTCTATTATTATTTGCGGGATTTTGGCTACCAGAGTCCTAAAATTGCAGGGGTTGTTGAGCCCGAGCAACGCCAGACTAACCGGCTGGTGTTTTATAATTAGTCTATCAAGATATGTTTATTGACAAAATTTTTATTATTTTTAAATTTGAGACATGATGGTGGAGAGAAATTTGAGCAAATAAAACTCACCCTGAGCACAGGATGTTTGAGGATGTTGTCAACAGTGAGGCCATCGGATGACAGCCGTCCTTCACTACAAGATGATGGTCCAGGAGGCAGCGTCTCCTTTGTTAAGTTCCCTTCTCTGTCTTGTGACTCTCCGCTCACCGGTCCTTTACTACCAAGGGCTGACGCTGTCAACTTTGGGAGTTCAGTCATTGTTCGAGAATGACTTTCATTAGAAGTAAGTTTACTCTTCGAAAATTTAAAAGGGCTAGATGCTTTTCTAGAGGGTGATTTAGGAGACTTATTTTGCAATTTTTGAGGTCTGGGAGCTGGTGTGAGCTTCTGGTGTGAAGCTAGAGCAGCTGCAGTCAATTTCGGAGCATAATTTGAAGTGGTCTGCGATTCTAGAGTGTGTTTCACGGCTAATGAGTCACTCGTCTGAGTTGGGCAAGCTGATACAGGGGAGGTGCTCGCTGCACACGGTGCAGTGAGACATGAAGCCACGTTTCTTTTGAAAGAGAACTTAGATGTTGGCGTTTTGTGACTCACGGTGGGTGTGACTGGAACAGCAGTGGGCAAAGTTTGACGAGACTCAACGTGCAGTGAAGCATTAGGGGCTTGAATGAGATTGCCACATTTCTGCGCGGTGTTTACGAGTGGAGCAGATTTTGGTGTTGCAGGACTTGGCGGCTGCACTACAGAAACTTGAGGCAGTGGATCTTCCAAAAACTCTGTAGGAACTTCCAATAATGGATCTTCTGTCTCGAATGGTGGAGGTGACCAAATTTCCTTGGGATAAAATTTTCTAGTATAGACATAAAAAAATAGATTTGTGCCTTAGTGGAGAAACATGTACTACTAATCAATGTAATTATCTCAATTTTTGTTATTAAAAGCAAAAAATTAATATGATGCACATCAAAATGAGCCATTATATACCTACCTCATCTGGACAGTCACTGATGAAGTCCTCAATGCGAATTCGGAAAATATCAGCCTTGCACTTCCTTTCAGACTCACTGACAGAGATGGTCTCTAATTTGGAACGGTCATTTGTTGTTTTAGAATTCTTCAAACTCGTATTATACACAACAAAATTATTCTCGGAATGACCATGGCCTGATATTTGGTCCTTTTGTTCTGGTTCCTCAATAACCAAATTTTTTGCGGTGCTTTTTGAACAAATTTTACCAGTGCCACTTTCATCTGCAGACACTCTACCCTCAAATGATAAATTTTTGCTTTCTGTAGGCAATAAATTGGTATTAACTTTGCCAGTTGAAGAGCAAGGAAGAGTAGCACTTGACTGCTCAAGAGATTCTGCATCATTCAAATTGTTAATCGAGCATGACGGTGGTTTAGATTTGAACGAGACACCCTCTGAGCTTGCACTCGAGATGTTGGCCGCTGCAGGGGCAGTAACAACAGGAGGGCCAGATGCAGCGACATTCTCCTGGAACAAAGATCACACTCATGAATTTCAAGCAAGTAGTCTTGTCTCATTCTACTAATGGCATGAAAGTTCAATCACCAGTTCTTAAGTTTCCTAATAAAGTTTGCTAACATACAACAAAACAATTATAAATTCAGTTCATCTGCAATGCAAGTATTTTTTCAAAAACAAATATTATAATACTTTTATATAAGCTCACATTTGCATCAATTTTTTTATTGGCAAAGTGTAAAGATCGAGATTAGATCATTCAGTAAATAATCAAAGGGATAAAAGGAATCACTGGTTGCTATCATTTCGAGGAGTTGATCAATTAAATTTCAGAAATAAATTTAATATACATTATCCCAGTTACCTAAATTTAGTAGCAAGTTATGACACATTTATGACATATTAATTATAGTCTTCACTGATAGAGATAGATAAGGTTCAAGATAAAATGTATTGAGGTGCTTTTAGTTTTACAGACTGCGCTTGTGGTCTCCTTCAATTATGCTATTCATTCATCAGTTGTACTGTGCAATTGAATTTATTTCAATGTAAACGCATTGTTTTGATCATGATTACACTCGTGAGGGCAGAAGCGATCATAAAAACATCAGCATTAAGCAAATAATATAATTAAAATTTTAAAATTAAGGGACGAATTAGTAACAACATTACTAATTTGAACAAATTTTAGCAGCACCACTTGTATGTTTGTCATGCCTAAAATGAAGAAGGAACAACCTCAACCTTCCATCTTCTAACCTCATGCTTAGAAGAAGGAAGCTTAAGTCATGAAGATGAATGTCTCACATGCAAACATGTGAAGCCTTGTTTGAATAAATTAAACTGCTCTGCCATATCATTTCAACAGTAAGAAACTGCTATATCATAGCATTTCAACAGTAATTAAACTGCTATATCATAGCATTTCAACAGTAATTAAACCGCTATCTCATCATTTCAACAGTAATTACACTGCTATCTCATCATTTCAACAGTAATTAAACCGCTATACCATAGCATTTTAACAGTAATTAAACAGCTATATCATATCATTTCAACAGTAATTAAACCGCTACCTCATCATTTCAACAGTAATTAAACTGCTATCTCATCATTTCAACAGTAATTAAACCACTATACCATAGCATTTTAACAGTAATTAAACAGCTATATCATATCATTTCAACAGTAATTAAACCGCTATCTCATCATTTCAACAGTAATTAAACTGCTATCTCATCATTTCAACAGTAATTAAACCACTATATCGTAGCATTTCAACAGTTTCAAGCAGTTCTGCTAACTTCTGTAGCTCAATCATTTAACAAATATTTGGCAGAAGCTTCTTCATTACTCAAGATCTAGATAAACCTTTATTGTTGATGCACACTGTTTTCATCTATTTCCAGTATATTTTTAAATGGAAATCAAAAGACATTTAACCAGGCTTGTGTTTACAGGTTTGTAATAATCTCCCAATGCTAGTTAAATCCGAAGGCCAGACCCAATGTTATGTGCTACACCTGATAAAAGTACTCACCTGCTTCACACTATTCCCACACCACTTCTTGTTCACAGATACCGACAAGGGGAGCTTATTTTCATCCCTAAAAGATTTATCTATTTGGTAGATTCGTTTTCTCTTGCCTCCCACTTCCGGAACATCGTCTTCAGAATCAGAACTGACAAAAATAAACTCCGTTGAGCCATGCAGCGTGTCACCATTCTTTTGATCTGCAAAACAATATGCATTACAAAGTATACATTTCATTCATGTGATAGCACATGCACTACCATTGAGGCTATACAAGAAATATGCAAATAGAAATGCTTAACAGAATGCTGTTATATATGATAGGCATGCCCTAATTTATCTCCATATTCAACTGAGTAGAAAAGCAATATCAAGGCTCTTCTTATTTAACACATAAAAAATTAAATGTAAGTAAATATAGCCATGGCCGTGTGAAGCAAGACTCCTCATTCACAATGACAACTATCATGTGGCTCTTGATTTGATTGATTAACCAACTTGAATATGATAGCAGGAGTGAGACTTATATTGTCAAATGTTCAGTAGTCAAATAATATTGAAAATTCAATTCACATTGATTCCCCAAAAATTCAACTTCAATTCAAAATCTCTGATTCAACATGAGATGTGTGATGGGATAGTACAATTACATCAACATATTTATCTATATATACGGTATATATAGAGGCTACAGAGCAATACGCAGAAAATGCAAAATTAAATTAAATAAATATATTTCCCCAGCTTTAGACCTGCCTCCAGAAAACAGTCAAAATAATTTCCTACAAATTTAGGAGAACAATGTTAGCATAATGACAACAAACATCATAAAGCCAGGCATGTATGTGCTCCCACCAGCAAGCCAACAAAGTCCCTTACATACAATGGCTGTTCTAAGATTCAAAAAGATATGAATTATATTTAGTTCTTATTTCATGTATGCACCAATTTCAATATGAGAGAACAGAAAATCTTTGCGTAATAGAGAAAATAAATTTCTTCTTTGCCTCATCATCAATTGTACAGTTTGTACTTGCTTATAATTTCAAATGCAATATAAGGTACTGCATTCAACCACAACTTCAAAATCATGTCAAATATCAGCTAATGATCAATTATACAAATGATTATCCAGAATGTAACTTGGTTTCAAGATGGATTACGCCTGTAACCAAAGCTAATATCTTCCTGAAATGAGATGATAATTAACATCCAATTTTGAGTTTACATTTATATGTCCATCAATCAGTCAAGTATCAACAAAATTCAGATTTAGATTACAAAGCAAATGTTCCTACCTTTCAAAGTTGTCATGCTGAGTCTGAATTTATTATCAGTTAATAGATAATTTGTATCACTGCTGCCAGGGAGACCAGCTGTTGAGACAGTGGCTGAGTGAGGTGAACTGCAACAAAAGAGTGATTAAATACAATCCTTTCACTTTACTTCTGGAGTTCCTCATAAAAATTTTCACAGCCAAAGGACTCAGATGAGAGATCAAAATTGGATACATAAAATGCAGAGATATAAGGGGCAACTGCTTAGAAAATAAGAAAGAAAACTTCTTAATATGACATATGCAATTTAATATCAAGAAACAAAATAAGAATAAATTTTAAAAACTCACACTAGAGCCACAGGTTTCATGATGGAGCAGGACTCATTGATAGGCTGCTTCATGAATGCATTTTGACATTTCTTGTTAGTATTGAGTGAGCTGGTGTTTTGTTTACAATCCACTTCCAGCTGGAAGAAGTCTGATAAGCTGCTCTGGCGACTGCATTTATTCTGAGATGTCTTTTTTTTGGCCAATTTGGACATGGCAAGTCAGAAACTGATTCAGTATCAGATATGAATAGAAGTATAGAAATCTTATCTTTTGGATCAATGTGAACTAATTGCAAGTGAAATCTGTTTTGGTATAAAAAATGGTATAAACAGTACTGATGAAACGGTATAAAAACCATCAGTTAGAAGCACATAATACAATCCTGTTAATGCCAAATCAGAGGTCAATGTTATGAATAAATTTGTTGGTCAATAATTCTAAGCACATAAGTACTGTAATCATCAAGCAGACAAAGGTTTCATTAAAAAATAAGAAATTATTTCAAGATTTTTCTATCTGAAGCACCAAAGGCAGAGCCAAAATATTCAAAGCTCTCTCAGACACAGACATGTTGCACTGTTCAGCAAGAAGTTGCCCTGCAGAATGGGCACAAAGGAAAGAAACACAAACTTTTGCTAGCATATGTTATAATTAGTGAAGAGTAGCAAGGTTATAAAGAGCTTTTAATTTTTTTTGCAGCATGTAAATGGCCTATGTCATTCCTAGCCTTATTTCTGATAACTCATCCTAACCTAGTCTGACCAATGAATCAGTCTTTTTACAATTTCATTTCAAAATATCCCTGAATACAACTTTATTAGAATAGTTATTTCTTTTCTACCACACTAATAGTTTCCACAGTCAGTCATTCTATAGTAGGAGACATGCTTGATATTTTTTCACATCCTTCTGTTAGGAGATGAAGGAACACTGGGGATGGATGAGATGAGATCAACCCTCTACAGTGTGGTCAAATTAACAAGTTTCTCAACTGTGAGCAGAAAGGCATGGAAAAGCGTAAAGAGCAGAAATTCTAGGATATTGTTGTTGCTGGACAAAATGCAAGAGATGAGATTGAAAGATATTGCACATTTCTTATTAGAGTTATGATTAATAACATGCCCTGCCTTGGCTGCACAGCCTGGAGCTTCTTCTGACCAAGTTTGTCAGAAGAAAAAGGATGTTGCAAGGTGTCTCAAGTTGCTGGCGAGTTAACCCTTTCGCGGGTAAGTTACCATATATGGTAATTAAAATAGGAGTAAAAAAAAGCCCCCCACATCACCCACATTGCTTGGGGCAGCCTGCCAACAAGCTCCAACCAATCACAGATCGTGTACGAGTTACGTCATGTATGACGTAGCGCTCTGACTAGACTCCTGCGCTTGGTATTTTTTGTAATCCGAGACGAGACAACAGGCTCTGTCCCGGTTCGCAATAAAAACCGGGACAATTTTCAGCCCTCCGTAGGAATTCCGGGACGATACCGAGACGAGACATCCTGGTTAAAATAGGTACCTTAATATTTCCCGGAATTTACAGCTATTTTAACGAGACATAACGAGACTAATCAATTATTGATGTGGTGTAAACTTTGGCTTACCGCCATACATTTATACAGAGCTGGGCAGTGCTACTTTGAAATGTAGCGGCCGCTACTTCTACATGCTGTTAATGGAGCGGGCGTTACCGCTACCGCTACATGTAGAGCGCTACTGCACACCTCTGGCTAACAACAAACATGTTGACACTATTAACAGGCTGAGGTTGACAACATTACACCGAAATCTTTAGTACAGTTTTATTCTGTAATTTATATTATGTATGTATCATGCTGATTTTTAAATAATATTTAATACTATTAAGTAAAATCTAAAGGCTTTATCTATAAATGTAGCGGTAGCGCTGTAGCGGCAAAACCTCGTATCGCAACTTAAATATGTAGTGGGTGCTACCGCTACCGCTACAATTGCTTAAATGTAACGCCGCTACCGCTACTGAAAATGTAGCGGCCGCTACATGTAGCGCGCCACTGCTCACCTCTGCAATTATATAATAACTTGAGACGTATCCTTTTACTATTCTGATTGGAGCTTGGCAATTGAAATGATTTTTGCTACGAATACATGTTGTGATTTAATATGGTACCTAATCTTGACAGGCAAATAAGAATGGAAAAACACGTTTTTTTCCTATGATGGTTTGGAAGAGGCCATACTAGCTGTAGCTGGTGACATCGGCTGACTGGACAGAGTCCAACAGACTTTGATTTGCTTCCAGCTCAATCACAGAATCAGATTCATCGATCTTGCCTTAGGCAATCTCCTTCAACAAAAAAGTTTGGAAAGATATATCAACAACATTTTATAATACAACAAAATTTAAGTTGGAAAAAATATAATAGTTTGACCTTCAAAAAAAATCGAAATATCCATGTGTATCATTTCTAAATAACTTTAAACAAGCCCGAGTGTTTGATAACAATTCAGGAAACTGCGCAATTGTGAAAGTTTCCTGGAGGCGTAGCACAAAATTTTACTAAAGGCAGAGATAATCTAATACCTACTAGCTTTAGTATTATTAGGAATATCTTACCAGGACTCCACTCCACTCTCTACTAATTGGCCAACTAATCTAGACACTGCGTCCCTACTCCCTATGCGCTCCTCGGCGCCTGAACTTGTTCCGAACGCATAATAAACTCGACTCATATTCGTACGGTTCCCATAAGTGCCATCGAAGCCTTAGTTAAGACTTACAGAGTTACATTTTGACTCAATACTCAGCCATGCATACATCGACAGGTTTGCAGTGTTTGTCGGACCACTAATTAACTGCCATGTCAGTTAGTCAGACAAATTTTGCTAAAGACGTGCAACAAGGATAATTCCAGGCTTGAAGGGCAAGTCCTATGAAGAAAGATTGAAGTTATGAAGCTAATTTTGCTAAAGACGTGCAACAAGGATAATTCCAGGCTTGAAGGGCAAGTCCTATGAAGAAAGATTGAAGATTATGAAGCTTCCAAGCCTCAGTTATCGACGTCTGCGTGGGGACCTCATTGAAGTGTACAAGTATACTCATGGTCTATACAAGGTCCCTGAAGGATTACTAGAATTTGAAACAAGAACCAACACCAGGGGCCACGGCTATAAGCTAAAAAAACTGCGCTGCAACTTCTCCACGCAACAAAATTTCTTCTCGCTTCGAATCACCAACATGTGGAACAGCCTCCCCGATAACATCGTTGGCACTCCAAGTATGAACGAGTTCAAGAACAGACTAGATAAAGCTATGGAAAAATATATGTTCAGATTTGAAATGCCTAGCTCCTTATCGGACCCGGTGGAAGTCTAGTAGCTTCTTCAAACTATCGTCAGTCATGAAAAGATCTGGTCAAATGACACAATTTTAGATCTTCTGTAAACAAGGCACGAAAAGGAAAAGAATCGGCGACAGGCCACATCAGGCCTACGCTTCAGCGCCGAGATCACTATGTAATGTTATGTTAAATCTGCAATTAACTCAATTTAACTTGTAACTGTCTATGTCCCTATTGGCAATAATGGGCTAACTTGTCATTCTTCAACCCATGTTTTCGAAATGATTCGTATCGTAATCAAAAAACTTGTTTTGTCTACACACAAACAAGCCCTCTACACTAATAATTAAGACAAATCTTGTCTCGTTAATTCTCGTTTCATATCTGTCTGTCTCGTCCCGGTTCATAATTTACCGGGACGCAAGTTTAAAAGTCCGGGACAGAAGTCTTGTCTCGGTTCATACGTTTATTCCGGGACAAATTTTATCCTCTGTCCCATTATTTTTTTCCCGGAATTTTCTCGTCTCGTTTCTTCTGTCCCGGTTCATTTCGAGAAAATTATTTCGAGACGCAGGAGTCTAGCTCTGACGCACTCTTTTGTATGTGAGCTAAATTAAAAACTAAGTACTCTGAAGAAATGGCAAAATGGCATTTTGGGCCCTCATCGTATTCACTTTAGCAGCTTTAGCCCATGAAGAACTGTAGGAAAGGCCATGATAGTTGCTATTATCATAGTTAATAACTTGCTTTATCAACTGATTATGATGCCATTTACTTGAAGCAAATGCAAGATGGTGAAATATAATGGCAAAAATTAGTGTGATCATATATGAGCATATGCCCGCCAGTGTTTAGAGATGGAAGTGACTATGTTTGGTCACATGCCCGCTAAAGGTAAATTTCTACAGCGCTTGGTAAATATGTTTGTTAGCATTTAGTGGTTAGCGGTATTATGACTTAAGCCATGTTTTTCAGTCTAACGTACCTATAGTTCAGCACTTGATGCTTTTCCTGACTTTGACTGCAGTCCAAGCTCATGGCATTCTCTTCGTTATAGAACATAGAGCCAACGCGGTTGCAAGCAAGATGGTCTCTGTACTGACCCAGACAATAACATGTCCTTCACCAATACTAATTCTTACTGACAATTAATTCACAAGTTTTAGGTATATGTTGTATATGAATGTGATTCTTTACATACGGCATGGATGTCTCATTATATGGATGGTCTGGAAATATCTTGCCATAAAATACTAAATGTGCCTATAATTTTTTTCAACTTGATTGCTTCCTTTGTATGTGTTATAATACATGCATAAAAGAGCAATCAAGATGTTTTCCACCATCTAAATAGTTAACTTTCAATGTCAAAATCTGCAAATTTTTTATACCTTAAGCCAGCAAGGCCCCATATATGATCACTTCAATAATTGTGATTTACTACTTATATACAAAATTTTTCGAAAAATGCTTACGAGTAAATATATCTTAGAATTGGTCATACTTTTAAGTACAATCATCAAATATTGCAATTTCATCGTATTTCTATGTCCGCCCGGGAAAGGGTTAACCATGTTAGCATTGTAACACAGTATTGTTGCCGCACGTCTCCCGCAGGTGAGGGAAATGCATCACCTACTTTTAGCTGGTAGGTTGGCAACATCCTACCATCAAATGGGGTGATAAGGGATGGTTTTGAGCATTTTTTTACAACACTTCTCTTTAACTTCACTTCTTGTTTGTTTGTCTGTCTGCTAAAAATCTTTTAATCAAAATTTAACACACTTCTACTTATCCTATTGATCTGAAATTTTGCACACTTGTGTAAAGTTGGAGACAATGCATGAATCAAATGAGCAAATAAATAATTTTGAAAATTTGATTTTTTTATATATTAAGAAAAATTTAAAACTTAATTTTTTCAATATGTGGAATTAAAATTAGAAATTCATTATAGATGTGTAACATTGGAGACACTGTATTCTTTAGAAGTGTTGTCTTTAAAAAGTAATTTTTAAACGCATATTATTACAACACTTCTCTTTAACTTCACTTCTTG